GAGAAGGGGAGGAAGCAGAGAGCTAGGGAGGCCCACAAAAGAAAAACCTTTCTTTGAGAAGGAATGATAGCCTATTCAACAAATGGTCCTAGCAGAACTGGGTTTCTACTTGCTTTTTTTCTTACAAAAATCAATTCAAAACAGGTCAAAGAACTAAATTTAAAACCTCAAGCATTGAAACTTCTAGAAAAAGAAAACATAGAAGACACCTTTTTAAGAGAACACTAACAGCACAGGAATTAGCCCCAAGTAACAACAGATGGTGCCAACACAAACAAAATCTTTCTGTACTTGAAAGAAAAGAATGTACAGAGCAAACAATCTGTAGAATGGGATAATCTATTATTTTTAATGATAAGCAAATTAGCCAAACAAATAACATTCTTACATGCCTATCAGTTTTTCATCAGTAATTTTGTGAGACCATACCTGACTATAATTCTACTGGTTATTTTAATTTACACATAAAAAATACTGACTATGGGACTGATTTTCATATAAACTCACATAGACTATGGTTGTATGCCTAAAACCTGCACTGGCTCAAGCCAGATGGGGTCCTAGTGCTGAGATGAGGGAGGGGACATGGGCTCCCATCTCTAACCAACGAGCCATCTCCAGTTGACATCTGCTTGAGAAGGAAAATAAATAGTTCTCTCCAAATGATTCCCATTTGGTACATTAATCACTTTTAATGGCAGGCCTATGTCCAGCAGCAGGGTCACCACAAAATGAACTCAACTGTATTTTGTGGACTTATGTTTCAGCATTTTTTTTTGTCTTACTGACCTTTTTTCTTGTATATTATGGTTTCCAAAAAATAATAATACACATCAAATATTAAGTGGTGGACAAGATGACAATGATGCTATCTTCCACTCTGTAGATGCTTTCCATGTTATTGTCTGATTCTGATATTTTTACATATTGTTCTAATTTGAGCATTGAAGAACTGATTTCTAATGCAAAGTGTCAATAGTTATAATAAAATCAGACACATAAAACCTGGCCCATACATAGGTCAAAGATAGTTATAAATGCATCTCAACAGAAAATCTTATAATGACTCAAAATATATCTGAGATCCATTTTTATGACACAGTTCTATGTTTCTTGAGTAGGAACTTTATAAACAGCAGCTTCATGTTGTAATGTCAAAAGGTTGGATACACCTAGAAAACATTAGAAAGAACACAACCTAAGAAAAAGTAACATAACCCCAATAGTGAAATGTATTCACCATGACGAGTTTGAATTAGAATCTTGTGAAAATACAAATTTTGCATATAAAAATTTATTTGAAAATAATTGGTAGGAAAATGTAAGGATCTAAGATGGGCTTAGGGGTATATGACTGTAGTCTCTGCAATGAAGAGATGGTGGCAAGAAGCCATTCTCAGGAACATAGTAAGATCAAGACTACCCTGTATTATATTAAGCCCTATCTCAAAAAGCAACAACAACAAAAAATAAAACCAAAAAATAATTAAGAACAGTCACTGAGTAGAAAACATTCACTACTCAAGGTTAAAACAAGTTATCTACTGTTGGGAATTAAATAGAAACATTTGAAAAAGAAATTTCTGAGAAGTATTAGTTCTTGAGTTGTTGAATACAAACTTCAGTGTAAAAAAAGATTAATACATAAAAAATAAATCATAAAAAAGACAAAACTAAGTAAGATTTTCTCAAAATTGAAACCACATTGAGTTCTAGATAAATGAAGTACATAACATTCAGTGTAACATATTCTCTGATGCAACCATATAACCACAGAAAAGAAGTCCACATGTTTGAGTGGATAAATGCTATCACCTATATCCTGGCACCTACATTACCAATATATCCTTTTAGGGGCAAATAAGCCCTGTTTATCAATAATTTCCTGTCCATTAAGAGATATGCCAAAATAAATACACAGAATGAAGAAGTCACCATAAACAGATAGTGGTGAACACAAAATCCTGTCAACATAATGTTTGTATGAAGTAATTTGTGGACTTTAGTTAAACAACTTACTAAATGTTAGAAAGGTGACCGTATTTGGTTATTAACTGGTGTACTGAAGGATACCCAGGAAATAAGTACTGAGTACTAATGTCTCTTCTGCATTTAATCATGACAATGTGGAAATCCTTAACACAGAAATACAAAACTGAATTGGTGTCTATAAAAGAAGCAGTTCCAAATGAGTCATCTTCATTACATGGCCTCTCCAAGGCTCAGTTAACATAATGAGGAGAGGCCAAAGAGAGATTAAGCAGCAGAGGTCAGTGATGACTTGAGAAAAACATTCCTTCTCAGTGATGACATGACTAGGACTGTTACTCTCATGAACAACTGTGGTACCTGCACAAGATCTGTACAAGATGAAGCTAGTCAGCATTCTAGTATGGAAGGGTGAGGGACTCACAAGCCGCCACTCCTGAAGTCCCATGAACAGTTGATGTTTCCTGTAGAAAGGAGAGTCAGTCTTATTTGAATACACTGGCCCAGGTAGGTCTACCATGCTCCAGTGTATAGCCCTACAACCCTGAGTATATGGGCAGCACAAATTGGACTCAATTATACATTATAAGATAAAAAGTTTACAGGAAGTTGGAAATGGTGAGGAGTTTGAGGGTGGATTTGAAGAAGTCAAGGAGAAAAGTGGCGGTGAACATTATACAATATACAAAATATGTTACATGTGTATATGAAGTTTTCAAAGATTAATAAAAGTGTTATAAAGTGATAAACTCAATTACTTGATAGAAGACTTAAGATAATAAAACATTCCCACTCTGGATTGGCTGGCTACCACAGCCTTCTACTGTAAACAATAGATTAACAAAATAGAACAGAGAAAATTGATCTAAAAAGAAAATGCAGCTAGATCAGAAAATAAAATGCTATTAAATTTAGTTAATTAGTGTGATTTTGCTAAAGAGATTAGACTCATAAGAGTAACCCCAAAGTTTTGCACCAGGACAATAGGAAATATTACTTAAGGGCATCTTTATGGTATGCAAGGTCATTCGATCCATCACAGGATGAAAGGTGTAAAGATCCAAATTTCCTTCAAATAGCTTCACTTAAGAAAGAGAAGCCCCCAGAGAACACTGCATGCCAAAATGTATGTGTGTGTGTGTGTGTGTGTGTGTGTGTGTGTGTGTGTGTGTGTGTTATTTGATACCCAGTGTTTAGTTTGCCAAAAATCAGAAATCCTGTTTATGAAGTCAGGTATAACACAGGTTGTCAGGACAGCTAAGTGTCATCAATATGATTCTGACTTTTCTGTTGTGTAAAATGCAAGCATTATAGGGTCCTGAAGACAGCCTTTGACATTTCAAAGGAAAGCTTATATAGCCAAGCAGGGTGTTACTGGAGTGAGAATAACCTCAAACTGTCTTGTGAAGGATACTGTAAGACCTATGATGTAACAGGACAGGCCCATAGGGTCGAGGAAATTGGCTCAGACCAGTAGCCAAGGCATGTACATAGCATACTCCTTAAGAGCCAACCTGGTGTCTGCCTGAGGCCCAGCAACAGTGCTCTCCGAGTTCCTAGTCAGAGTTCCTGATCGTGCAGAATCTGCCTGAAGGTCTAGCAACAATAGCTCTCAGAGTTCATTATTTAGTAAATTAAGGTCCATAAAGCTTCTAATATAAAGGACATCAAATGCATCCTTCATATGTAAAATACATAAAGATAGAGATGTTTTATTTTCATATTTGTCTGTGTCCCAGTTAAAGACTAAAATAAAAAAAATACTAAACAGAAAGCTGGAGAGAGGGCTCAGAGGTTAAGAGCATTAGCTGCTCTTCCAGTGGACCTGAGTTCAATTTCCAGCAACCACGTGGCAGCTCTCAACCATCTATAATGACATCTGGCATGTAGGCAGAATACTGTATACATAATAAATAAACAAATCATATATATGTGGGCTTTGATTTGACTTTTTTTTAATTTTAAAGCATGGTACTGGGGGAACTTTGCCACTTTTTTGCCATTGGACATTGGATTTAATAGAGGAAACAATAAGTGTAAATAAAAAACTTATAAGAGACTTCTTTGAAATTAAAATCTACTTTACATATAATACTGCAAAAAGAAAAAAATCATAGACGTCAAGAATACATTTTCATGAGACATTAAGACTACTAGACTAATGTCTAAACTATATAGAATATTTAGAATTTTCCAAGAGGCCTGACATGAGAAAATCTTTCCTAGAGTCCTGGGGAAGACACTATGTCCAGTGTGGGGTGATCTGAGAGAAAAGAATCTATATACACCATGCTCTTTTGTCTGTTTACTTTATTTCTCTAAGACAAAATTCTATCTATACAGCTTCAGTTCCATCCTGATACTCAGTTCCTCTCTGTCCCTTCTTTTTCTGTCCTCTCATAGCTCTAGTGATAACTAAGCTCTTATGCTCCTGATCTCCTCTTCATCCTCTGTTCCTTCATCCTCCATCTTTCCTTCCTCTTCTCCCCTCCTGACCTGATTTAAATCTACCTACAATCTGAAATTTTCCCCTTGCTCCTTACTCCTCAGCCCAAGCCAGTCTGCATCACCATCTAGAGAAACTCTGTCTTGTTTTCTTCTCTCCAGTCGTGGGATTCTGCTCTACAGTCTACAGAAATTCTGCCTTGTTCTCTTCTCCTCTGGCCACCAGACTCTGCCTCACCAGGAATTTTTCCTCCCCTTCATTCCCACCTGGATATGCAAAAGAAAAAAGAAAAAATCCTTTGTTCCGATTCAAATGCTATGGAATACCATTTGGACAGTTGGGGGAAGGTAAGTCTGAGCTTCATTTGCACAAGAAACAAAGTTATGCATCTACAGTTTGCCTGTCTCCTAGGCTCTGTAGAGTTGTTACCCAGTAGATCAGCACTAGGTCTAAGAAGTTTATACTATGTACCATATGGCCTGGTGGTATATGAGCACAGAAGACATTCATTGCAAGATACAGCTGAATATTAAAAGCTGAATAACACCAAATATTCCTTGATAAATGGCTTCCTTCTAGAAAAGATTCCTTGATCTTTCTAGGTATTGCTTTATTATATACTACTGAATCTTTATCGTATATTTTTGTAGCTTGCTGCAGAGAATAAATACAGAAAGAGCAAGAGACACAAATACACACAGATGCCCAAACACACACACACACACACACACACAGAGAGAGAGAGAGAGAGAGAGAGAGAGAGAGAGAGAGAGAGAGAGAGAGAGAGAGAGAGAGAGAGAGAGAGAGAGAGAGAGAGAGAGACTGACTCACACACAAAGGACAGCTTCCCTCAGAACATAGAGACAAAAAAATCCATTTAGAAAAGCACATCACATCAAATACTGGTGAGAGTAATTGCCTGGTTTTGTTGTAGTTGTTGTTATTTGTTTGTTTTCTATCTGGAATATAAGATGGCATGGTCACTTTGGAAGATAATTTAGTGGATTCCTATAGAAATAAATATAATCACATCATTGTATCCTTCAATTCCATCTCTTTATATTGATACAAAAGACCTTGTGATTTATGTCCACTCAAGATAGACACACAGATATTTATATCAGCTTAATCTATAATGTTCAAAATTAAAAGTAACCAAGATATCATTTAGGAGGTGAGCAAAATAAAATATTATGATATCTTTAGACAATGATATATTATTGAGTACTATAAAAATCATAACTAGAAATCAATGATAATAAATGAAAGAATATTGACTGCATATCAAAAAAGGATACAAGTCAAGCTACAAAGACTACACACTGTGCCATCCCAAATATGTGATCCTGCAGCAAATGCAAAATGACAAGAATACAGATAGTGTTGTGTGTCAGGAAATGGGGAGAGGAGGAGTATGAATAACTAGAGAATGGAGGAGAATTTAGGGTAATTTCACCATTCTTTATGATATCATAAGGAGAATATATGTCATAACAAACATGTTGAAATCATGAAAAGAAAATCTGAGGGTAAACTAAGTAAGTGTGCTGAGAATAAGATAGGTCAAACTGTATTACCCTGGTGGGACACATTGATTATAGGAGAGGACATTTGTAGGCTAGAAAAGGAAGACTACAGGGTATCTTTGTACCATCCATAATTTTTCTGTAGATATTAAATTGTTCTAGTAGGCTTCTAAAAGTACAACAGTGTTTAAAACCAATCAATCATATTTAACTAGAACTAAAATGGATATTTGATGGTATGCATATTTCAATAGAATCACATTTTTTAACTTTTATTTTGCCTTGAGTTAGGATGACTGCTTTGGGATTAAGCAGCAATTTAAAAATGTCTTCCTACCAAGCAAGATTGTGATGATTTTCCCCACTGCCAACACTCTTTCAGCAAAACATAAAAGATCATCACAACCTAGATAAATGTTTGGATCTCAGAAGCAGGTCTCTTGTACTCAGAATTAGAAATCAGTGACAGGAAAACTACAAAATGTATTTCAAGTGGATTTTGTATGAGATCTAAACTGTGAATAATTTCTAATTAAGGAGCCAATACTTCTTTCCAACTAAAAATGAGAGGCATGGCACACAGAAGCAAATGCTATAATGCCAAGTGCAGAGAGATCAGTCAACAGAGTGGAACGTCAACCAGATATCCAAAATGAACAAAAACAAGTGAGAACACATCCCTGAACTAAAGCTAATACATAATTCTGTGTTTTTCAATATGGAAAATTAAAATAATATTTATATTTATTTTATTAATAAAAATAAATTGTGCACTGCTATCATTACTCTCCTGTGTTCCATCATTCTCAGGTTTATTTGGTTTGCCTGGAGGCTTAGCTCCTAGGCGATTCCAGATCCTGTCGAGTTGACAACCAATGTTGACCATCGTAGGGTTACATTTCTGTAATGTGAATTTTTTTAACTCTACCACCTGGTTCCTAAGCAAAGTAAACCCCAAGTTCATGTTCAGAGGAATTATAATCTATTTTTTATGGACTATCAGGTAAGAGAATTGATCTGTTTGCACACAAGCCTACTCAGTCTTGAAAACTAATCTTATCTACCCATTCCATGTCATTTCTAACTATGTACATAGATTCCTTCTGTTTTCTTCTGAAAAATCTCATCAGTGGATATCAGCTCTTTATTATCTTCTTTCTCAAGCCCATTAATTCTATTTTGAAAATAAAACTCTCCTTTTTACAAATGATGCTTAGAAATACAAATAACGTTTTCATGGTATATATGTCTATATCATTATAAACATACATTAGTTATTGTGTATTAAAAAACTAAATAGCAAATGCTTCAAAACAGATGCTCAATTCAATCCAGCTTTTACAGGGGGGTTGATGAATATTTTTTTCAAATACAAGTTTCTTTTAAGAAACAAGTCAGGCAAAAATCAGTGTGTTTCAGCAGAAAAGCAGCTTGGTAAACTGTCAGTAAATCCTTAACAGGCCCTGAGAGAATGGATTCAGTTTTGTATGTGAAACTGCCTAAGCAAGTGGAGCTCAGCGATGAGAGCCAAGACTACAAAGCCTTCATAAGAAGAAAAGCACCTACTTTGCAATGCAGTCGAAAGAGGCTGATTCCTTTTTTGCCTTAGAAACACACTTGAGAACTGAGGTAATACATAGGCAACAGATTCTGACATCTAAGTCTGTGATTTTACCCGACAGTTTGAACCTCTGGAGTTAGAACTGGAATGCTCTTAGTGGCTATGCCATCTGATCCTCTCAGTTTATAATAAAAAGGCTTTAGAGTTTTAGTCAAAATTCATGATTTAATAACTTCTTAATCAATGTTTAATGAATGAATTTCCTAAAGTGTGTCAATTTGAATGCTGAGACTCATTCTACATTGACAAAACATGATCAATACCATCCTTTCCTGTTCTACACTGCTAAGTGTGTTGGCTTCTACTGCCTTTGTAACAAGTGGGTAGAAATCATGAAATAAAAAAATATAAATTTGATATCTTTTAATTTCAAGGTCAAAATGTGAAACTGGTCACAACAGACTATGCCATGTTTTGGCAGGTCTCTGGGATCTTTCTTTGTCTCTCAGAGCCTTGTTTCTTTATATAAGTCAAGTGAGAATTATTAATACTAACCTCAAAACTTTACTGAAAAACAAAATGTGAAAATTCACAAGGTGTGCTTGCACAAGGTGTGCAAAATGACACATAGCAAGTGTTCAAGAGATGTGAGTACATGTCTGAGATAGATGCACTTATCAGTCAGCCATCTAAGGGTAATGTATGCATGATGTATCTTCTGTAGTATAGGTCATTCAGTGATACTACTGTCTTAAGTTTAAAACCATCTTGAGCAAATATAGAAAAGCAGAAAGCGTCAGCCTGTTTTCAAAATACAATACAAAATTGTAGTAATAAAACAGAAAGCTACTATCACTAAAGAATCTATCAAATCAATGGGACTTAATAGTGAACCTAGAAGCAAATCCTCACATCATTGCCAACAAATTTTTGACAATGTCCTAAAAACATGCATTGGAGGAAACTGTTCAGTATTTTCAATAAACAGCCCTAAGAAAGTAGATAGTAGCATGTAGGTGGAAGTTTCTGTCCTGCCCACCTGTTCCCAAATAACAAATACAGAGGCTTAATATTAATTATAAATGATTGGCCAATAGCTCAGGCTTGACTAACTCTTACATTTCAAATTAACCCATATTTCTTATCTATACTTTGTCATGTGGCTTGGTACCTTTTCTCAGTACAGCATGCCCATCTTGTTTCTCTCTGCATCTCTCACAACTACTGACTCCACCATTCTTCTTCTCATCATTTTCAGTTTGGCTCTCCCACCTAACTTTATCCTGTTCCACTATTAGCCAGTGAGCTTCTTAATTAAACCAATCATAGTGACATATATTCACATAATGTAAAGGAATATTCCACAGTCACATTCAAGAGACCCCTAATTCACACAAATTATTAAAATAAATTCAAGGTGGATGGTAGAAGTAAATATAAAATGTAATCCTACTAGAAATAAACATCAATAAATGTTTCATAACAAAATGAGCAAGAATTTTTGGACAAGACCTCAAAAGCATAGGAAACAAAAGCAGAAATTCTTTAATTAAAAAAAGGGAGAAAATATTTGTCAACTACACATCTGACAGGAGAGTGATAACCAGAATACATAATTCCAAAAATTCAATAAGAAACAAAATCCAAGTAACTCAAAACATATGCAATAGACTTAAGTAGATATTTCTTCAAAAAAGACTCAAACAGTCAACCAAAACATGAAAACCATTCATCATCACTACCTGCCAGGAGAGAATAGTCAATCCTTCAAGGAGGTTTCACCCCATCCAGTAATAATGTCTTTTATCCAAAAGACAAAAAAAAAAGTGTGGATGATAATGATAATGGAACTGTTTCACATTTTTGAGTCCTACCTCAACTTGATATGCCATGCTTTGTTGACACCTAAGGGAGGCCAGCCTCTCTCTGAACAAAAACAGAGGAGGAATGTATTTGCAGAGGGGAGCAAAGCGGAGGTGAGGTGAAGGGAATGGGAGGAGAAAAGAGAGGGGAAACTGAGGTTGGGATGTAAAATAAATGAATAAATTTAATTAATAACAATTTCTTAAAAAAGTATTTTTAAAAGACTAAAATAAATAATTACGGTATAAGAGTAGAGCAGATTTGAAAAAATAGTATATTTTCACAGGTTTTTTTGCATTAATCATAAAAAGATACCTTGATTCAAGTAATTAGAATGAAACAATGAATACAATCTCTGTACCATC